TAATGGCAGCAACAAGATACTTGCAGATTTCAACTACTGGCATTCAGGAATTACCTTCCTTCTTGAGTAGTCCCCATTGTCCACACATTTTGATGCATCTATTTAATACTATAAATTACTATGTTACTACACCATCCCTTCTTGAAAAAAATGTTTCATCCATTCTGCTGGCACTACAATCCCCAAAGTTAAGTCAAATGAGCATTAAGTGGCTTGAATCTTTTTTAGAAGAGCTTATTCAAATTCTTCTTTTACTCTTAAGACAGTAAGTATACAGATTATATTCCCAAACCACCTCACCACATACCTGCTTTTACTTCTTGAACTATCCTGAGCAGGACACTGCAATTAAAATGCTTTTGCTGTAATTCTCAGGACAGTTACACAACTTTTGTCCAGAGCTAACGTTGACCTTTGGTGATTTATCAAATTTTGAGGAACAAAAACTGCTCAATATTCATATACTTTAAGTCAAGAAAGCAGCATTCTCTAGACTGACTATTCGCAGACCAGCATTTTCCCTCACTTATGCCATGCTGAGTCCAATAGCTTGCAACCAGTTAAAGGAAAACTTTAAGAAGTTTTACAGTTTTGATATTCTGAAAGACAGAGAACGCATTTTTCTTGCTGTTGTGTTCAAATTATGTTCCCCTCTATTAATAACAGGCCTTACTTCTCATTTTAGTATCTTTGCTGCAGTAAAAAAAAAATCTTCAATAGCTAGAACTTTCTTCTTATTAAGGTATTTGTATATAACTAACATTCTTTTTGGTACCTTTAAAAAGATTTACATCTTTAAGTTTCTTTTAAGGCATTTTCTCAAGCCCTAAGTAAATATATTCAGCCTGTTCTGCAACCTATACCATTTTTAAAGCCCTGTTCAAAATGTGGATACCAGAAGTAGATCCAGTATTTCAGTACTAGCGCCACACTCAGAAGTAAAATCACCGGTTCCTACCATCTACCATTCCTGTTTATACACATGAAGACTGAATTAGTTCTTTGTGCCACAGCATCACAGTAGAAGATCAATCTGAATTATTTGTTCACCAACTCCTAAATTTTTTCCAGAGTTGCTACTTTCCATAATGCAGTCCACTCTGGCCTGCATTTCCAGTTTTTTAAACAAATAACTTTGGCTACTTTAAAAGGTACTTTGCTCACTTAATGGGCCCAGCTTACCAAGTAATACGAACAGCTCTCTGTCCCTGCCTTGCCATACTTTTACTGCTTCGATACTTTCGTCACTTGTGCATCACTTGCACATCAGTGATGATTTTACAGTTTCTTCCGTATCACTGAAAAAAGTACTCAGTATTGCCCAGATATGTCCCAAATCTCATAGAACACTTAAAATGATCACTCTCCTGCCTAGTGATGATTCCCAGAGAACCATCATTCCCAGATTGAGATTTTCAGCAGCCATTGAAGTCTTCCAAGCATTTTCTTGGAACGCGGCTATAAACCATCAGAGCCTAATAGATATTAAATAACTTCTTGTTTGGTTATTAAGAGGTTTGGACGTACATCCCTTGTCTCTTCTGATTTGAATACAAAGGACTTTTTTCTCTAAAAGAAATACAAATATATTTTTTGAATGCTGCAACTTTGCCAACATGGTTACTCATGATTTTACATCCTCATTATTTTATTCTTAGTTTGCTGCAACACTATCCTCTTACCCACATCCTTGTCAGCTCACTTATCAGACAACTCTCTGTTGTCCTTAGTATCTTTTATCAGTCTTCTTTGCTTTATACTTCTCATTTACTGTTTCCATAGCAATCCTTCACATTTATTATTTATTGTGGTTTTTTTTTCCTCTGCCTTCAATTGCCACTGGTTCCCATTGGATATCACATATTTGATTCAAACTTAACTGATTTTTCCATTGTAAAATGTTAATAAATTCTTCTTAAAGATGTTTTTACTTGCTTGAAAAACCCTAAACAACAATTCTTTATTTTGGGGTCTGATAAAACTGACTGAGGCCAGATATTTTAGCGTGTACTAGACCATTAATTTCACAGAAGTACAGAAACCAAGTGCTAGAATAAGGAATGTTATTTTGAGATTGCATTTAAACCAATGAAAAGGAATGTACTGTGATTGTTAAACATCCACGAGAATGTTTTTCACTCATCACATTAATCAGTTCTTTTATCCCCCCTCGTTCAAATAATATTTTTGTCCTTAGAAATAAAATACTCTAGGCTTTTGTCACAGGTCAAACACTTGACATTTTTTACAGTGTGTTCTACAAGGCCCAGCTCAGCAGCAGAACTACATTCACATTACTACCAGTGTCACTAGTGGACAAAGCCATGATTTATTAGGCAAAGGGGAGCAGCAAGGGCTAATTGGCCATATGAGGACACATAAGTGAGTGAGAGGAATGCATAAACAATGGAGAACACATGCAAAGGTAGCTTGCTCCTCTGGCATGCCCCAAGGCACAAATAAACAGCATTATTAACAAATCTGAGATGTAAGAAATGCAGTGCGAATTACACATGCAAATTCTTTCTTCCTCAAAAGACCATCTTGGTCAGAAATACTCTTATATGAAATAAAGTAAATTTTGTACAGTTTGAGAAGATATAATTTAGGAAATTAGAAGGTGAGAAAATGTCTTTATGTTAAGTTCCTCACAGTAAATTGATTAAACCTGCGATTACAACTTTTTTCATCATCACCACCACCACAATGGAGACAGACTTCAACATGTTTGAAATATTGGAAATGTCTTTATCTTTTACAATATGCCCATAAAGGTGTATGCTTATAGCAGAAATGATGACATTCTAGAAGAATTCAGTATGTGTTCAATATGCACATATCTGTAAGAACAATAAGATATTTTTAAAAGTCTTAGAGAGGGCCCATGGACATTTGCATGCATCAGGCAATCATGCTTCAAAAGAGCTGGCTTGGTATCCTCAGTAACAGCTGCAGATATAATGCTAATAATATTGTAAAATAAGGCTTTACATATCAGAACAGCAACTTTTTTTTTAACAGCCCTTGATCTCTTATCATACCATATTTAGTAACAGCCACCAGTGTAATCCTCCGATGTGACCTATATATAGAATTAGAAGATGCTCTTAAGAGCTGTTTTTTGGACAAGTAAAAAACATTAAAAAAGGAGAAAAAAAACCTACCCAAGACCCCCTAGCCTGGAACACACAGCTATGCTCCTAAATGTCAGTTGTAACTCAGTGACTGGTTAGATTTTGTCCACCAGAATACAGAGGTAACATTGAATAAAATTGTCACACAGTCAATGTGGAGCCTGTGAACCATGTGCATGACTGCTGGTAGTTCCACAAGTTTCACTGAAGTAAGAAATCAATATGCCTAGTGCTTGCAAGTTGGTGCCCACAGTAAAGTCTATATTGAGAATAGAGTTCAAAACAATAATCTGAATCTATTTTCATTAGGTGGAAATGCAAATCCATTTGTTTTGTTGAACTAGTCTGCTCCCTATAACACCCAAATGCTACTTTGGAAGAATTTCAGCCTGGGAACTCTCTGCAGTTTACATGAAGAAAAAAATAAGATTGCTTCTGTCATTTCTGTCCATCAGGAAGGAGCCTCATTACCCAAGTAGGCTTGTAATATGTAGTTATGCCAGTTGTATTTTATTACCATTGATTTATCCATAAAGATAATGCAATTGTGGCCATTTAAATATTATCCTTCAACTATTTACTTATCTTCTGGAGAAAAAGCAAGGCATATCTGAATACAGATCAGTTGATTTTGAGGTTAGGTAGTGAGTTAAACAGAGAGATGTGGTTCTTTTTCCTACTTGTGGTTCTTCCACATAAATGAATCAGAGCAGCCTTATAGTATATTCTATGGAAAGCGAGAGGTACAATAACCCCAGAGGCAATCAGAACTTAATGGATTTGTATGTTTTGAGTTTCCATTGGAGCTTTCCATATGTACTCATGGATCAAATCTTTTTGTTCCCTACACCATAAAACACAGTTCTTTGTAGAAGAGAGACAGCCCAAACTGTTTGCAATAATGGTAAAACACTATCACAAACCTAGCAGGTAAGTAGATGTTCTGTGAAATTAGGCATGTGAAAATACAAAAGGTAAGTTTTATTTTTATTTCAGACAAATCACAAAAGAGTAATATAAGGTTTTATTAGCAAGATCACGTACTGCCATTTGGACACCTAAGTATGAGAGCTATGGGTGCAATCAAGCTCTTGAAAGGCTTGTGACAGGAATGTGCTACGGGATGAAAAAGAAAACCTGTGTTCAGCATAAAGACCACAGAGATAGATAAAGTGTTAGCTGGACATGTGATACAAGTAATTTTAAAACATAAAAATTATCTTAAGTAGCTTTATCCTTTGTTTCCGGATACAGGGAGGCTCTTTCCACTTTTCCTAACATGGCTTTTAGTAGGCCTGAAGATTTATGAAACTCTGGATATTAAACTGGCCAAAATAGCCATTTTGGAGCTCAGTAATGTTTGAAGAAAACGCATTGTTGAGGAAAGAGTGAAATATTTCTCTATAAAATTTTCTGAAATAGTGAAAAAGGAACAGCAGTTGTTTGAAAGATGCACGTAAGTTTCAGAAGCAAGAAATAACAGAAAGCACGTCAAGCACATTGTTCTGTAATTTGGTCTAAAGATCATCAAAACTCATGCAACAGAAGTGCTGACATACACATACACACATTCCATCTAAGGCCAACATCAGCCTTACATTTATAGGCTAGGTTAACCACAGAAATCATGGAATTTATTTGTACCACTGTACTTGGCACCTGGACATCAAAGTAAAGCTGTGTTCAGAAAAAAGCACTGCATGTTTAAAAACCTTTCTTTACATAAAACCTTGTTTTTATTGGACATCAGTGAGTCAAAGGCAGATGGCTGATCTAATTTTAGTTAGGGACAGATACAACCCACCAGTGGCCAGGGTAATCAAGGGTAGCCAAGGTTATGAGCCCCAAGCAACAAATTTATTTTACCTCATATTCAGATTCCAGTGTCACAGTGTTCTGTTTTAATTTTTCTTTCAAAGCTGGATCAACCTGCAAGACAAACAAAAATACAGCAAATATGTTTGCTTTTAAGAATTTTTTGGTTTTTTAAAGAAATCTTAACCTCAAATAAACTAAATATTGGTACATGCAACCCCTCCTCTCCTCTAAATGAGCTTATGTGCAGTTTGTTGAGATACCAGGATGATGAACACAGTACAAGCATTGGGCTGAAAATAGACAGGTCAACAACCAAACTTTTCAAATCAAAACAGAAGTAAATTTGTAAGGAGCCCTGCACTTGCATTACCTTAGATATTTATATCTGTAACAGTTTAGTTTGAAACTGTCAAGCTAAACAAAGCCTTAAACAAATGAAACAAGAAAGACCAAGAAAGAGAAAATTGTGATCACATTACATATTTTACTCCTGAATGTTGTATTCAGTGAATAGGTATACAACATATTCTGGTTTTCAAAGTCTAAGCATGAGTCAAGCTTCCAATTTTCTGAACATACAGCTCACTCTCTACCAACAATGTTGGCGATTCCTGCCACCTTTCAGAGAAGTTTGTTCAAAGAACAAATCTAAAACCAGACATGTTCTCCTCAAACAGACATCAATCACATATGCAGTATTCAGACACAGTCTTTAGGCTAATCAAGCAAAATATCAAATAAATCTACCATGAGAAAGCATTCTCATTTTTAGACTTTAAATACAACCAGTGTTAAACAAACTAGACATGTAAGAAGACTGGTAACGTGTTTAGTTCAGCATCCATGGTACGCTAGTCCAACTATGACTAGTTCAGTGAGGAAAAGTTGTTATTATTCATTTGCTGCTTCTTGATCTGAATGAAAAGGGCTCATTTACCCTCGTCACAACCAACCTCAAATGTCTATAAGCAGTCTAGAAAAGAAAAAGGAGGGAACACGTTATAGAATTTGCCCGGTCGATGACAAGATCCACCTTCACATTCTGCCCCAATACAAGCTCCTGATCCTCAGAGGTACTTAAAATACACACCTACCATCTGTATTGATGGGAACCGCTCTGAATAATCTCCCTAGGCCATAATGTTCCCCCTGATTACAGACACTGCCTGCTAGTTAGTATGCAGCCTGTGAGACCTCAATTCCTAAGGATGCTAAGACAGGAAAGTCTAACACCTTCTGTGCATGGCTAGAGGTTTGATTTCCCTATCTGATCGGAGATCTGGCCATAGAAATACACGAATTTGCAACCTCCAGACTCATTACACTTGGGAAGTAAGCCAAAATATCTAAAATGGTTAAAGTTTGTACAGGATACAGCTCCCACTTTCTTTGCAATTAAAAAAAAAACAAACCCAACCTTGTAAAACAAGGCACTGTCTCTGCACTGGCCCTCTTCATCAAATAAAAAAATGAAATGCTACATCTCTGCTTTGGCATTCAAGGCCTCCATAGAACTGCCCCTCATTAAAGAGGGATTGCCTCTTTCCTGTGACCATGAGCTCCAACAACAGCCATGCTTCATTAGAACAATGAACCCATCCATCACACAAGCAGAAATGGGAACTCTTTGGGCAGCCAGACAGGCTTTGGAGCTTGCCTTCACAGAGATAAGAGTGATCGTGGACCTCACTGTATTCAGAACTAAATGCAAACACTATTTGTTATGCTTGGTGTTCTCACAATACACGTATGGACAAGGGGAAATAAATGCTCCAGCAAGTAAAGAAGCAAGAGAGTTTTATTTCCTCCTATGTTTTCCCTTCATTTAATAATAAGGCACCCAAGATAACATGGTTGGAGCAGCATTTTTACTTAATTAACCGCAGCCGGAATTTAACTTACAAAGACAGCTCAATATCGCCATTATCAAGTTTTATTTTAGCAATTTTTAGTGTTTTTTTTTAAATGTGTGGTGTCTGCATAGGCACATTTATGTAAGGTAAAGGGAAACAAGCGGTGAAGTTACTGCTGCTTCTTCTCCCTTCCAGGCCCTTCTGTCTTCAGACTTCCTCGCGTATTCATTCTCCTCTGCCTGCACAAAGGGAGAAGACTAGCTGAAACTGAGACAGAGCGTCCCAATACTCCTAACTGTTTGAAGCTGCAGCTCTAATAATGACAAAAACACAGAAATGAAGGAGGCTAGTTGAAATTTCTCAGAAAAAAGTTATCCTGCAAATGAGAAATGAAGAGAAACTCCTGCTTCTAAAGAAGCAGGAATTTTATTCAGCAAATTAACTTACCAAAAAAGACTAGTTAAACCCTGTTTTGAGGGCAAACTGTACACGCATCTTGGCAAGCTCTTAATATTTAACATACAGGCACATGAAAGACGTAAGTCCACTCTGCAGAACATGTTATTTTGCTCCAAGTTCCACAAAAAAAAAAAGAAGGGAGCAAGTATGTACTTCCTTTTATCTTTACATTTTCTTGTTCCCTACATACTTACCCACGTAGAATAATTTAAATGTACTTGACTCCACACAGAAATTGAGTCATCTGCATGTTCTAAAGCCTTGGTTGCAAACCCCTGCTTTTCAGTTGCCAAATGGAGACAGGTTACGAATTGTTTTCAGAAGCAACATGGCAATTGAAAAAAAGTATATGATAAAGATCTGTTTCCACAGTGTTTGTACCATGCTGCACTATATTTGCAACATCACAAGAACAAAAAAAGGAAAACAGAATGGTGCTATTTTCACTCTGAAAAGGCAGATAAACATCAATACGAGCCACGATCACAGATCATAACCAGGGAACACTTAAAATGTGGGCAGAGCCAGGAAAGCAGCCTTGCCAAAGTGGTAGCTCCTTTACATTACACATCTGCCACAAGATCCGAACACAAACACATGCATTTCGCTTCCATGATGACTGTTATGCCAAAACACATACTGCCAAATGAGCTAAAAGTATTCAGTTATGTACTGGCAAATGAATCATCAGCTAAATTATGAACACAAATCCCTATTAGTAAATATGATGGAGGAAGCAGACAAAGCCCAAATGCCGTAACAGTCTCACCATTATTTAGGAGGCAGGAAGGAACAGAAGACAATATCCCTTTATACTAGAGGACTCCTCCTTGTCAAGCAAAATCTCAGATTTAAGTTCCATTTAAATTCAAGCTTTGTCTCTAAATATGGAATTCAAGGATGTGTGGACTTCTAATTACAGCATAACTTCACAAATTCTTACTGAAAAACTATCAAAATACTTGATGTAAGTTTTCAGACGGTTTTCATGAGAAGCTGTCTGCAAGGCTTCAAAAACAATACTGTAAATACAATATTTCAAGGCTTTCCTATTTTTTATTCTGGGGCATTGGGGTTTTTTTTCCCTATACAGCACTTGCAGCAAAAATGAATGAAACATCCTCAGAGTATTTTGCACTATAGAGGCTTATTTCATATTACATCAATTCAAAGTGCAAGGGCAGGTATATAGACAAACCTCAAAAAAGGTTTAAGAACAAAGTTTTCAAATTAGAATTTTGTCCCCTTTCACACTCCACTGTTCCTTCAGATTTACCCTTACTATACTTCAAAATGTTCCCAAAGATAGAGACTTAAAAAATATTCTTAGGTGGCTAAAAGTAAGAGAGGTTAAGCACAAAATTATTCTTAGAAATCTTCATAGGTAGCTATTTGAGGCTGTAAGTACCTAAATCCTTTTAAAATCTAGCTGCCACTTCTCATTTTAAGGCTCACATTTCAGTTTTTCAATTAGAACCTGGACAGAATTTCTGGGTGGAAAACAAGGTGCACCTCAGGGTGCAGACAAGGGGCATCACTTCAGACCAAAGCAGGAATACCTGGTGCTTGCAGCCCCTACCAAACCAGGGACTCCTGCAGCGCACTGTGATAAACTGTTGGCCTCTCTACACTCTTTTCATTCAAAGGTATTTTTTGTTTCTGACACAAATATTTCTGGTACAGTTATAAACCTAAATGTGCTTCTACTAAAAAAATTCTCTAGCTAACAATTCTGCGCTGATCCTCAGTGACCACAGTTCATTTTGGTTCAGAAGCAAATAATACAGACAGAGAGCAAATGTGAAATTTTTGAATGTCACTAACTTTACCTCGAGGATATGGAAAGGATAGCTCTTCCACAAAGGAACCCAAAGAACACCATCACAATCCCCTTTTGATGTTCAGAGGGATGGAACACCTCTCTTGTGAAGAAAGGCTGAGAGAGTTGGGGGTGTTCAGCCTGGAGAAGAGAAGGCTCCAGGGAGACCTTATCGCAGCCTTTCAGTACTTAACGGGGGCTTACAAGAAAGATGGGGACAAACTTTTTAGCAGGGCCTGTAGCAATAGGACAAGGGGTAATGGTTTTAAACTAAAAGATGGTAGATGCAGACTAGATATAGGGAAGACATTTTTTCTGATGAGGGTGGTGAAACACTGGCAGAGGTTGCCCAGAGAGGTGGTAGATGCCCCTTCCCTGGAAACATCCAAGGTCAGGTTTGACAGGGCTCTGAGCAACCTGATCTAGTTGAAGATGTCCCTGCTCATGGCAGGGGGCTTGGACTAGATGACCTTTAAAGGTCCCTTCCAACCCAAACTGTTCTATGATTCTATGAAACACAGGAATACAAAGCAGATTAGCAGTGTCCCTTCTGTTCAGCATTCAGAGAGGAGGAACAAGTTGATTCACGTTCTAATTTTCAGGGTAGCATCCCAGTCATCCACAATACGTGCATGCCTGGATCTGTACTTTAAATAGTCAAATTTCACAGGCAGTCTCTCTGTCTCAGCTATAGCCATTATTATTTATTTGTCCACTTACTATTTGTGGCCATGGGTTCTAGCGCAAATCAAGTCTCAAATATATTACATCTTCTCAAATTAAGGGTTCAATTACTACACAAGGAAACTGTCAGGAGACAACCATGTCATGAGAAGAGGACTGTGCTTTTAATAGTCTCCTCTCACATAAGTCAGCACAGCAAGTTGTATACTTGTGTCCAGAGACTGGCATGTACTGACCAAATATTTGTATGCCAAAGTCTTACAAAACTTTCCCTCTAGCAAGCACTTCCAGAAGGC